ATTGACAGTGTAGCTTTCCAGGTCTATTTTAAGTTGTTTAAGTTCAGTGAGAGAGAAGGGCTTCTGCACAATATGGAGCCAAATTCCCCTTCCACCTCCACAAGGGGGAAGACCTTCTATGGAGGTAATGGTTGCTGTCCCATAGTGGGGCAGCCCTCTGGATCAGGGGGTCATCCAGGGTCATCAGGGGAGCCTGGAATATGCAAAGATCTGGGAGTAGCAGGGTGTTTGGGGTCTGAAGACCCCAGGGGGTTCCAGTCTGGCAGAGAGGGCCCAGAGTATGGGGGCAAAGTATGATAGAAGAGAGGTTTCTCTGAGGGCTTGGCTTATTCAGACCCTTGCCCTCTGTAGAAGCCTTAGGTTCTGGAGTGTTGCCTCTTGTGTAGGGCATTGGCTGTTTTGCATCTACACCCTCCAGAGAAGGCTTAGGATCTGAAGTATTATCCCCTGTGGAGGGCATAGGCTTGTTTTCTCCTATACCGTCCAAAGAAGACAGGTTCTGGGGTGTCTCAGGGTAGGTCTGAGGGGATTGGAACCAACATTGTTGGTTTGAATTTGTGGAGTAAATCTCCACTCTCCTGGAGGAGAAAGAAGGCTTGGATGTAGGGAAACTCTGGCAATTTATTTATCCTGTCATTTTCAGAATAGGTCTGATAGCAGGATAGTGTTGTAATTTAGGATCCCTTATGGGGTCTAAGTTTCCCCACTGAGGAGTTTATATTGGGGCCAAACTGCTGTGAAGAAGAATTGGAGCCTTGATCTCTTCCGGGTCTGGGGGTTGAAGAATTCCCAGTGTCAGAGGATGCAATCCAAGGGGCTATCACAGTGAGTCTAGTGTTGGTTCCCCATCTAGAATAACAGGAAGAAGGACTAGTTAGTGGTAGAGCCCAGTGTCCTGAGGTCATCACTCAGTGGCCTATCATATGTCCAGCACCAAACAGTACTCTTGACAGACATCTCTATTTCAGTCATGACAGTCAGTGAACCTTTTCACAGCCATTGGTTCCCATGTATGTAGATCCAACATGGGAGGAAGCCCTAGCTTGGTGATCAAAGGTGGGGAGTCAAAGCAATACCTCTTGAACATCTTTGGTGGGGCGGGGGTGCAGCCATTAAAATAATCTGGCATACCCTTCTCCTTACAATCTACTGGAGGGATTGCATCCTCAAGAGGCAATGCTCCTGGCTCCAGGATTCCCTAGTAACCTTACACATTAAGCAGTAGCATTACATTGAGTGGATGGTATCTGAGATTGTTTGCCATTATTGGAAGGGACAGGGGTGGAGCTACTCCAATCATATGCAGGGGAAATGGGAGATTAGGATTCTGAAAGAGTAATATTCTAGAAAACTGGTCCCTATACCTGCTGGGTTTCTATTGGTCAAGGTTTTGGCAGTAGCTACTGGGGTCAGGGTAAAGTAAGAAGAGGAGAGAGGTAGCTCTTAGCTGAGCTCCCAGAGTGAGCAAAAGGCATAAAGAGAGGGTTCCATCCAGGCAAGCCTCACAGAGATCTGAAAGCTTCCTCAGGACCCAATAGGAAGGGGCCTGAGTCAAAGTCTAGACCTGGAGAGGCCACCAAATAGGTTAGGAAAGATCATCTCTGGTTGGCTAAAGGGCTAAGGCAGCCATGAGAAAAAAAAAGCTGTGATGGGGAATAGATTTTGGCCCTAGACTATGTTGCTCCCACAGATGCCTGCTAGGCAGGAGAGGTGGGCTCTTAATGGGAGGCCAGAGTTAAGTCAGACCTGAAGAACCCATTGAGAGTAAATGTCTCCATTCCCCTCTAAATGGAAAAGAGAGTATATTCCATAATAGAAAGAATGCTGAGCATGAAAGGGACAAAGGATTTTAGAATTAAGGTGACTCAGGAGGATCTTAGCTCCCATGGGGAGCCATTGGTGAATAAGAGATTGAAGGGAGAAATCTCAGACCACTCTTGACAGCATTCCTGAGGACCCACTTATGACCTACCTCCTAGGGAGGGGTTTTCCCACAAGGTGAGTAGAAGCACCACCTCCAGTTGGTCCTATGGACATGTCACGGCCAAGGGGATCATGAGATGAGGGTCTCTGTGGGACCACCCCAGGACAGGTCAGAGAGAAGACTTAAGATCAGCAGCTGTCCTATCAACTTTTTTTTGGTATCATTAATATACAATTACATGAGGAACATTGTGGTTACTAGACTCCCCCCATTATCAAGTCCCCACCACATACCCAATTACAGTCACTGTCCATCAGCATAGTAAGATGCTATAGAGTCACTACTTGTCTTCTCTGTGTTATACTGCCTTCCCCATGCCCTCCCTACATTATACGTGCTAATCATAATGCCCCTTTTTCCCCCTTATCCTTCCCTTCCCACCCATCCTCCCCAGTCCCTTTGGTAACTGTTAGTTAATTCTTCAGTTCTGTGAGTCTGCTGCTGTTTTGCTCCTTCAGTTTTTGCTTTGTTGTTATGTTCCACAGATGAGTGAAATAATTTGATACTTGACTTTCTCTGTGTGGCTTATTTCACTGAGCATAACACCCTCTAGCTCCATCCATGTTGTTGCAAATGGTAGGATTTGTTTTCTTATTATGGCTGAATAATATTGCATTGTGTATATGTACCACCTCTTCTTTATTCATTCATCTACTGATGGACACTTAGGTTGCTTCCATTTCCTGGCTATTGTAAATAGTGCTGTGATAAACATAGGGGTGCATATGTCTTTTTGAAACTGGGCTCCTGCATTGTTAAGGGTAAATTGTTAGGAGTGGAATTCCTGGGTCAAATGGTATTTCTATTTTTAGTTTTCTGAGGAACCTCCATACTACTTTATACAATGGTTGAACTAATTTACATTCCCACCAGCAGTGTAGGAGGGTTCCTCTTTCTCCATATCCTCACCAACATTTGTTGTTCTTTGTCTTTTGGATGGTGGCCATCCTAACTGGTGTGAGGTGATATCTCATTGTGGTTTTAATTTGCATTTCTTTGATGATTATCGATGTGGAGCATCTTTTCATGTGCCTGTTGGCAATCTAAATTTCTTCTTTGGAAAACTGTCTGTTCAGATCCTCTGCCCAATTTTTATCAGGTTAGTTGCTTTTTGTTTGTTGAGGTCCATGATTTCTTTATATATTTTGGATGTCAACCCTTTATTGGATTTTTCATTTATGAATATATTCTCCCATACTGTAGGATGCCTTTTTTTCCTACTGATGTGTCCTTTGTTATACAGAAGGTTTTTAGTTTAATATAATCCCCCTTTTCATTTTTGCTTTTGTTTCTATTGCCCAGGGAGATATGTTCATAAAGAAGTCGCTCATGTTTATGTCCAAGAGAGTTTTGCCCATGTTATTTTCTAAAAGTTTTATGGTTTCATCACTTACATTCAGGTTGCTGATCCATTTTGAGTTTACTTTTGTGTATGGAGTTAGGCAGTAATCCAGTTTCATTATCTTACATATGTCCAGTTTTGTCAACACCAACTGTTGAAGAGGCTGTCATTTCCCCATTGTATATCCATGACTCCTTTATCATATATGAATTGACCATATATAGTTCGGTTAATATCCGGACTCTCTGTTCTGTTCCACTGGTCTATGGGTCTGTTCTTGTGTCAGTTTCCAAATTGTCTTTACTATTGTGGCTTTGTCGTAGAGCTTGAAGTTGGGAAAGGAGATCCCCCTGCTTTATTTTTCTTCTCAGGATTGCTTTGGCTATTTGGGATCTTTTTAAATTCCATATGAATTTTTGTTTGCATTTCAATAACTTTATTGAAAGGTATATCCTTTCAGAACAAAACTTAATGATAGTTGGTTAGTTTACCTCTGCCAATTCAAAATGAACACTGATGTATTAAAAATGTTGAAATATATCAGCCTTTTGGGAAAACTGAAAAGTTATCCATAAAACACAGTTTACAAAAGTGTAAGATATACTGTGGTTCTTTGGTTTATTATCCAGTTATTTATTCATAACATGATGTCAAAATCGGGTACTGCCATCCTGAATGGACTTGGGCTGCACACTGCACTGAGTAATCATTCACAACACTTTTAACACTGTAGATCTCCTTACACTGACCGACTTAGAAAATCCTGAACACTACCATTGCAACCTCATAATTATGAAGATACCTATTTACTTTTCTTAAGATTTTCCTTTTGGCACAGTAGGGGCAAATAGTGGAAGTATATTCACTTCCTTTTAAAAAAAATTGGAATTTAGAAACAATGGTTGTTTTATACAAACTGTCCTTAGTGTAAAAAGTTCTGGAGTGTTAGTAAGTTTTTGGAGTGATGTGAATTTGATTTACTGACAAAAACAAATTTTCTGGATAGGACTAGATGAGGCAGATTTTGTATAAAAATTTGTCATGGATACAAACATCACTTGTTTTCTAGAAAAAAACATTGAAGATAATATGTCAAGATTACTAGGTCTGCAGTTTTTTGCTTTATATAAAATGCTCTCAAATTTAAATGTAATTCCTATGTAGCAATGAAGTCCACGTTTCTGGATAGTCAATTACTTGCTTTATGGGTGACAACAACCACTTTTACTGCTTAAAATAGTAACACTTGTTATACCTTGAAAGTGCATTTCTGAAATGTTGGTTTTGATATAAGCCTCATAAATTTAAAACTTAAAATTTATATTAAGTAGGTCACTATTTTTAATATCATCTAAATGCAATATACTGACCCAATATAGAAAGTTGGATCAATGTTAGAAATGAAGATTCACAGCTTATCTTGACAAGCTTGTCATTAGTGTCTCACATTTATGCTCTTACCCTTGATTTTATGCTTCACAGATGAATTCAAATTTTAGTGTAATTCCACTTCAGAATAATATGAAATTTTCCCAAACCTGAGATCATTAATGCTACTCTGGTAATGATGTTTTGAGATCTTATAGCCTAAATCCAAAATATTATTATGGAATCCATAGCTCAGGGTTGTGGAGAAGGGCTTCTGAGGAGTTTTCCATTGCCATAATAATCCAGTTAAGGGAACATTTCAGGAATTGTTGGAAGCTGGGTTATTTTGTAGTAAATATGCTTCAGTTTCCATGCAGTATGCCCAGAAATAATCCATTTCAACTTCTGAACATTTGGTTTGGAACACTTGTTTGATGAATATTCAGTTAAACACTTGGATATGAGTTCTTGCCAGAAGGTCAAATCTCTGCCATTTACCTTGGAATGTGTCTGAAGACATTCTACTCCTTCTGTTAACTCTACATACTTCTGTGCTTGGATCTCCAGTGCAGTGATAGACAATGCCAACACAGAAGGCTTTGCTTTAGAAAATATGATCCTGCAGTGGCATCCCTTAAGTTGAGCTTCTAGTCTTTCAAAATTAAGGCTATTTCTCTCTTCAAATGGCAAGTTCTCTTGAATGAGTGAGTAATAGAGTTGCAGAAATTGAAAGGCCATAGTAGCTTTAACTTTCCAACACACCTTCTCCAATACAATTTTTTCCATTCTCATCAGGTCTGAAACCATGAACCTATACTGACTTATTCGGATCAAGTCAGTTACCAATGGGATATTCCTTTCCTTTTCTATTGATATTACAGCTAAATAGAAGCAGCTCAGACCAACACACCCAAGGTGTTTGGGCTGTGCCTTCATTTTGGACAGGAATCTGTCCAGTAAGTTCACAGCTAGAGGAACGTTTCCATGTCAAAGCCAAAAAACTGAGTTAGAGTAAGAAGATCATTTACTTCAAAGTCCCTTAGCCTTGCCGTCATTCTGAGACTATTATCATGTGCTGATTCAATTAGTCTCAAGCCACAGACCTCTGGCTGACATCTCAACTCCTGTTCCAAAAGGGCATTCAGCTGGTGTACCAGTTTCTGAGAGTCAGCTGTTAGTACCTGTATCATCTTGCGACTATGGCTCCTCGGCGATAAGCATCCTCCTTGGGCCTGCTCTTACCTCACCCCACGATACTAGACCTGAGAGGCCTACAAAACTAGGGCACTCGCAGGGAAGAGGGAAGAGGCCCAGGGAGGGAGAACAATCCTGGGTGGAGGTCTCCATAGCACCACCCATACACACCGCCCATATCGGGGTCAGGTCAGAGCCCAAGGGGCTGATTCCATATGAATTTTAGAACTATTTGTTCCAGTTTGTTGAAGAATGCTGTCGGTATTTTGATAGGGATTGCACTGAATCTGTAGATTGCTTTAAGCAGGATGACCATTTTGACAATATTAATTTTTTCTACCCAAGAGCATAGGATGAATTTCCATTTGTTAGTGTCCTCTTTAATTTCTCTTAAGACTGTCTTGTAGTTTTCATGGTACAGGTCTTTCACTTCCTTGATTAGGTTTATTCCTAGGTATTTTATTCTTTGTGATGCAATTGTGAATGGAATTGCTTTCCTGATTTCTTTTTTTGCTAGTTCATTGTTAGTGTATAGGAATGCAACAGATTTCTTTGTATTAATTTTGTATCCTGAAACTTTGCTGAATTCAGATGTTAGTTCTAGTAGTTTTGGAGTCGGTTCTTTAAGGTTTTTTATGTGCAATATCATGTCATCTGCAAACAGTGACAGTTTGGCTTCTTCCTTACCAATCTGGATGACTTTTATTTCTTTGTGTTTTCTGATTGCTGTGGCTAGGACCTCCAGTACTGTGTTGAACAAAAGCAGGGAGAGTGGGCATCCCTGTCTTGTTCCTGATCTTAGGGGAAAAGCTTTCAGCTTTTCACTGTTAAATATGATGTTTGCTGTGGGTTTGTCATATATGGCCTTTATTATGTTGAGGTGCTTGCCCTCTATACCCATTTTGTTGAGAGTTTTTATCATCAATGGATGCCAGATTTTGTTGAATGCTTTTTCAGCATCTATGGAGATGATTATGAGGTTTTTGTCCTTTTTCTCTTGATGTGATGGATGATGTTGATGGATTTTTGAATGTTGTACCATCCTTGCATCCCTGTGATGAATCCCACATGATTATGGTTTATGATCCTCTTGACATATTTTTAAATTATATTTGCTAATATTTTGTTGAGTATTTTTGCATCTATGTTCATCAGGGATATTGGTCTGTAGTTTTCTTTTTTGTGGCATCTTTGCTTTGTTTTGGTATTAGAGTGATGCTGGATTCATAGAATGAGTTTGGAAGTATTCCCTCCTCTTCTATTTTTTGGAAAGCTTTAAGGAGAATGGGTATTATGTCATCTCTAAATGTCTGATATAATTCAGTGGTGAATCCATCTGGTCCAGCGGAGGATAGGGCTGTTTCCTGTTTCCCAGCTGCTATGCCTGCTTCCACTGCCAGAACCAGTGGGCCAACCACACCGGTATAAGCTTCTATGTTTTGCATTTATAGCTGCTGCCAGCAGGATTTCCCTCCGGCTGGCCTGATGCCAGGGCAGGGTTTGCTGATTTGCAAGCTAGGTGTGGGCTGGCCAGGAGGAAGGTGCAACAGGGTGTGTTGCATGGAGGAGGGCCTTGGAGCTGTGTAGCCAGTCAGGGGGCTGGAGCACCTGAAGACTGTGAAAGTTCCCAACCTTCTGGGCAGAGTGTACCTGGACAATTTTGTCTACCTGTCCTTTCTCCTGAGCAGTAAGCTCTGTGCTGTCCTTGTCCCTTTAGCACCCTCTTGCTGTTAGGTAGTCTCTCAGACTGCCCACCTTTCTTTTGTCCCAGAGCAGCCAGATATGGATCCCTGTTTTCCACAAGTAGCTGGAATCTCATTCTCTGAAGATATTCCACCTGTCTTAGCTTTCCAGCTCCCCTTATCACCAGAACACAATGCAATGTAGGTTTGTGCTCCCAGAGCAGATCTCCAGAGCTAGGTTTCCAGCAGTCCCAGGCCTCTACTCCCTCCCCACTCTGTTTCTCTTCCTCCTGATGGTGAGCTGCAGAGGGGGCATGGCTTGGTTCCCACTGGGCCATGGCTTTGGTATGTTACTCTGTTCTGTGAGGTCTATTCTTTTCTCCATGTGTAGTCTGGCACAGCCCTCTTTCCTTTTGCTCTTTCAGGATGAGTTGTAGTGATTATATTTTTGTGTTATATGTGGTTTTAGGAGGTGACCTCTGTCTCTCCTTTCATGCCACCATATTTAATCCATTCTCATCACTCAGCTAATCTTACCAGATGACACTTTACAGGAGGTAATACTTCCTCAGCTTGTGAAGGGAAGATACAACACTTGGGGATAGATTGGGAAAGGAGGATGACTGGACACAGCAGTGGTTTGGCAGCTCTATCCTAGCCCTCCTCAAAATCTTGGGGAACTGAGGCTGGAAAATAATGCAGGTTCTTACTAAGAATGTTACCTATTTTGGAATGAGCCCAGGTGTTTGTAGAGAGAATTAGTTTGAAAGGGTATAAAGCATGAAACTCTGTTTCCTGATTGGTTGCTACTTTCAGAGGCCTCATATGCTTTATATATTTGTGGATATGTCTGAGGTAATCATGTTCTCATTTAGAAAACTTATTTTTTATTCCTTTTCCAAAATCTATTCTTCCCCTTATTGCCAAGACATCTTATCTTCCTTCAATATTTTCCTATTTTGGGCTCAGTACTCTTGTTGAATGTAATCATCACAGAAAAAGGCGACAGAATGTAGTAAAAGAGTACTCAGTTGGGAGTCAGGGGACCTGTGTTTTTGCACCAGTTCTACTACCACCTTACCATGAGCGAGTTTTTTCCTTGCTTTGGGCTTCTGTTTCCTTATGTATAAAATAGGGGAATATAACCCCTGACTCATGATAAGCTTGGTCTTGAGATTTCCTTCATGTTCTTATTTCCTAAGCCCTACCTTGAAGTGCATAGAGCACATCCAGACTTCCTTAGAAGGTTTGTGCTAAAAGTTAAGCACACAGCCAAGGATCTTGGCTCTACTATGCAAATATATCTTGAACCTGACTTCTCCTTCCCATGACTACTGAAAAACTTCTCTGGCCTGAGCCACTAATCTCTCTCCCTGGGTGACTGTAGCAGTCTCCTGGCTACTTCTGTACCTAATGTAGTGTACTATCAACACAGAAACCAGTGATATTTTTTAAAATTACAGTGAAATGCACATAACAATATTTACCATCCTATTTTTAAGTGTATAATGAATTATTAAGTATATTCACATTGTACACTGATCTTTTGAAAATGTAAATCTTATCATATTCATCCTCTTGCTCAGAAACACCAATAACTATCTGTCTTGCTCAAATTAAAAGCCAAAGTATTCACAATGGCCTATAAGACCTCATATGATCTAGGTCCCCATCATCCTATGACCTCATTCATTTCCTATTAATCTCTTCATCATTCTGTCTGCTGCAGCCCCATGGTATCCGTATCATTCCTCAAATACACAGGCTTTTCCACTGGCTGTCTCTTTATTTCTGGAATGCCCGTATTCCAGATATCTCCAAAGCCCACTCCCTCATCTCTTTCAGATCTTTGCTCAATGATGACTTCTCAGTGAGGTCTTCCTGGCCAACTGAATGTTTGGATCCCTGCCACGTTCATATGTTCCTATTACCCCAAATGTTATGGTATTTGGAGGTGAGGCATTTGAGAGGTCATTTATTCATGAGGGTGGAGCCCTTATGATTGGGATTAGTGCCGTTATAAAAGAGATTCCAGAAGGCTCCCTTGTCCCTTCCACCATATGAAGAAATGGTGAGAAAATGGCTGTCTATGTGCCAGGAAGCAGGTTCTCACTAGACACCAAACCTGCTGGTGCTCTCATCTTGGACCTCACATCCTTCAGAATTGTAAGAATCAAATCTGTTGTTTATAAATCACCCAATTTATAATATTCTGTTATAACAGCCTGAATGGACTAAGATACCACCCTACTTAGAATTGAAGCACTGCACTCTTTACCCACTTACCCTGCATTATTTATTGCCATACCACATCTTCCATCATCTAACATTTTATGTATGTAACTTAACTTTTGTCTCTCTTCCTCTTTATTCCATAAGCTTCATGAGGACAGATATGACTTTGTCTCTCTTATTCAACATTCTATCCTTAGCATCTATAAGCAATACACAAAGTAGCTGCTCTACATGTGCTTGTTGAATGAATGAGTTCTTGTGACCTAAGTCATGAGGAACACCTACTCTGGATGGTGATATATTTAGAAGTGCTAGATTAATGCCTGTTTAAGTGTGTATATCATGTGGGAAGAGGAGGTGCATGGAAGGGGAAAGGAAGATCACACATACCTACCCTGAACCTGGTAAACCCAATCCTGGGAGACTGAGCTATGAGTCAGAAGATTAAGGCTGCACTGTTCAATAGAAACATGATGCAAGCCATATATTCAAGACATATGTGTAATATAAAAATTTCTTGTGGCCATATATTTAAAAGGGTAAAAGGAATATATGAAATTAATTTAAATAATATTTTAACATGGGATATACAATATATTATCATTTCAACCAACAACATATTAATGAATATAACCAACAACATATTAATAAAATCTTCTATATTCTTTTGGCCTTATTAAGTCTTGGAAATCCTGTGTGTGTTCTAAACTTACAGCACATCTCAATTTGCACTAATCAAGTTTTAAGTGTTCAATAGCCACATGTGGCTAATGACTACCATATTAGATGACAGCTTTAGGAACTCAGGCCAAAGCACTTTCGTTCATCTAAGAATGGAGCTAAAAGTATAAATGAATGCATTTTTGGTCCTGTTGTCTTCTGAAATTCCTTTTTTAGTTCCTGGATGCACTTCACTCTCTCCCTGAAAGAACATGGGGATAGTGTTGCTCTGTGCATTTTTCATGGGGGAGGACAAACAGAGGAATAGTTGTGGAACAAGGTGCTGATTACTTAGAATTCAGATTCTTAGGTCATGAGAGACCAGTGACATCAGCCCTCAACTTAGACTGAATCTCCTT